TCCTTTGCTGGCACTTTGCTTGTGTGGAGTGACCATTCAAAGTTACAATGGCACTGAAAAAGTGACTTATGACCATTTTTCACACTTACAACTATTGCAGCATCCCCACAGTCATGAGAGGCCAGGCAAGGAGATGCGTGCCTCGATGTGAGTGATATTGAGTTGGCCACATCCAGCCAATAACATGACCACCAAGCCATGTCCACCCATTCACATGACTACCAAGCCACGCCCATCACCTAAGCCACACCCACAGAACCGGTTGTTAAAAAATTTGAATCCCACCCCTGGAGGAGAGGGAACATAAATTTACACCCTTCTTGTAACTGATCTATGGTCTATGTGCAGCCACTTGATGATGATCCCCAGCTACAGTTCTTCTGGCTAGTACCATAACCTAAATCTGTGTTGGCGAACCTATGCCATGCGTGCCAGAAGTGGCATGCAGAGCCATTTCTCCCAGCATGCGAGAGGTCATCCAGAAAAGTTCCACTGCGCATGTGAGCGCCTCGACCCAACAGCTGATTGTCGGGTATCTGGCGCACATGCGCGGGGGTGGAGGGGGGTACACGGAAGATGTGCGTGCATGCGCAGGGATGCATTGGGAGTGAGGGGATTGCACGCGCAGGTATATGGTGCGCGAGGGGAATCACGCACATGCACAGAGACACGCAATGCAGAAGGGGGGTTCGCACATGCGTTTGGGGGCCAGCACGCATTGCCTTCTTGGTGCTGGCATGTGAGCGCACACAATCGAGCACACACGCAATTAGCGGCCACAGGAGCCAAAAAAGGAGCCACCACTGACCTAAATGATGGAACAGTGGCTACTGCATTTTAGATGACCTTTAAAAAAAAAAAAGTTCACTTGTAAAGAAGATTGTCAGTGGCTGCTAGTTATAAAAGCTGTAGGGCAGGAGTGTCAAACTCTAGGCCCGCGGGCTGGATGCAGCCCGCAGGATGCTTAGATCTGTCCCGTGGTGCCTCTACTGCCTGTGGCCCTCCTGAGCTCTTTTTTCACTAGCAGAAGGCTGCAGGAGACCGTCCCAGCCGATAACAGAGATCGGTAGCCCGTTTTCGCTGGCAGAGCACTCAGGCCTCCTCAGGCACCCCTGACACGAGTGATGTCAAGCTGGCCACACCCACACCAGCCCTCCAAAGTCAAACACAACCCTGATGCATCCCTCAACGTAATCGAGTTTGACATCCCTGCTGTAGGGTATTGCCGGTGTGTGAAGCAGTATGCCACTGAACGTCAGCTGTTTGAGAAGTAAAAGTGTTCCGAAAACCACCTCTCAGCAAAATGATGTTGTTGCCGTGGGGAAAGTAGGAGAACTAAGTGCAGTGTGTGCACCACCTTGAGCACCTGCATGAAAAGCAAGACATAAATCAAATGAATAAATGACTGGTTACAGTAAGTCTGCCTCCTTAAGATATTTTAATAAATTAATCCTAGTATCTTGAGATGTTTATGTTCCCTCCCATGTTCCTAGATCCTGATGAATAGCTGTGTAAGCACTTGACCATTTTAAGGTTGCCATTAGTTTGTTCACAGTATATTATTTTATATTAATAACATGCACACATTACACATACGGTTTTTATATCTCCCCCACTTTTTTTAATGATGGTGGCTAACAGGCACTTCAGTGAATTTCAAGTTCAGATCCATCATTTTTAGGACACTAGGTTTTTGAAAATTCAGGTAGAAGCTCTTGATTCTGCACTGCGGATCTAGCTTTGAAGATCAGTCAGGGAGTTAGAAACAACTTTCCTACTAGAATGAATTTAGACCGGGAGGGCACTTAAACATTGATTTGGAGCAGTGTTTCTCAAACTCAACAATTTCAAGATGTGTGAACATGCTGCGAGGGAATTCTGGGAGTTGAAATCCATACATTTTCAAGATGTTGAAGTTGAGAGACACTGGTTTAGAGCAAACAGAACTAAAATAGATTTCTCCACCTCATGGAAATGCAGTAGTCCAGGAATTACAGGCAAAATGGCCAATGATTCTGCAGATTTAAGGATATGGGGAGGTGTGTTCCAACAGATCTGGAAGGCTTCATGTTAGAAAAATTTTCCATGGAGGGAAAATAGAGATTGAGAAGGTGCTATATTACATTTTTGAATATTTAAATGTTTTTGAACTTGAGAATAAAATGACAGAAAAAGAGAACACTCTAAAGTACCAAAACATGGGGAATTTAAAATTAATAAACAGCCATCATGGAACAAGCATACTGTTCTTTATATCTTCAGTTCTAGTCCAAAATCTTCAAGAGTTGGAAACAATTTGCATTAATTCTTTACATGTCTGCTTTTTCTGCTCAGCAAGCTTGACAGATGCATTTTGACTTGGCAGTTCTTCATTTTATTTCATTTTTTTTCTTGTTGGAACTTGCTGGAGCTTATTTTTCTGATACTTTCCACGAAATGACATATTGTTTGACTGCCTTGGAGCATATATTTATGTATTGTTCAGATGTCAGATTCATTTTTGTGCCCACCTGGAATAAAACACTCTAATCTCACAACAGTCTTACAAATGGCTGCCTGTGGTTAGTGAAAATTGCTATCAGACCAGAAGGGTCTCCAAATATCTTGTTTTGTCCTATTACTGACATAGCAATCTGTGGGTGATAGATTTCAATGTGAAATAAATCTGACTTGTTTAGAAGGCTTTGGTTAAGAACCTTTTGAATTTTCAGGCTGCTTGCTGATGCTTCCGGAATACATTCCTGTCAAAGAATGCTTTAAAAAAATAACAGCTTCATAACTAAGTACATTGTCCAGTCATCATAACTGAATAGCATTTGTCTCTGGGTTTATGCAAGTGGTTGTAGTAACAGACATGCCATATATTAGGCACATCAGACTCCCTATCCTTAAACAAGTAAGAGGACAGGATAAACCCAGTTTCTAACCTGTGTTCATTCTGTTGGCAAAGGCAATATCACCCTCCAGAGTTGCTCAACTTAAAGCTTCTAACATCCTTCATTGTTGATCATGCAAACTAGAGTTATAATAATGATAGTTGATCAACACCTGGAGAATTACAGTTGCCTCACTTCTTATGATGTACAGAGAACTTTTAAAGATGTCTAAAATTTGAATGAAACAATTAGGCTTAGTAGCCTAGTCTCTTTCAGACTTAAGGTCTCTTTTGGCCTTGAGAAGCATGAAACTGTGATCTGATCAGGACAAGGGGGAAAAAAGAAGGATTTTAGTTAAATTGAATACCATTTATGTGATTATTCCTCATATTTTAGATATTTCCCTCGTTCTGTCATATTAACGATCAAAATGACAACTACCAAAGAAGTATTTTTTAGTTGACATAATTGGGGTAAAGATCTTATCCAAGTCTGGAGGACACTTTAGATCAGGCGTCTCCAACCTTGGCAACTTTTAAGACTTGTGGACTTCAACTCCCAGCTTTGCTGGCTGAGGAATTCTGAGGAAGTTGCCAAGGTTAGAGATCCCTGCTTTAGATTATATACTGTTAGGTTGAACTATTGTAGGCCATTGTGGTTGACTGCTGGTTTCCAATTTTTCAGAATAGGGATCTTTCTAAGCTCTGGCTAGAGAGACTGAAGATTAAACAGAGGCCCAACCTGCTAATAATACTCAGCTAATTTGATAATAATTTGGTAATAATGTTGATTCATTCTGCTTCCTAATGCTTCTCTGTCAATAACTTACCTCTTCCCAAAGCTGTTTTGCCATAATAATTGGTAATCAGGATGTGCCTGGTAAGGTGTGGCTATGTGATTCCAGTAGCTATTAAGATAATATTGCATAATTTGCTTTTAATTTTTATAGAAGGAACAGATCAGACATCCAGCCCTTGCTTATCAATGGAGACTGAGTGGAGCAAGTGGCCAGTTTTAAGTTTCTGGGTGTTACCATAAAAAAGGACCTCACCTGGGGTGCTCACATTGCAGCACTGGTCAGAAGGGCCCAGCAGAGATTATACTGCCTGAGACTTCTCAGGAAACAACAACTGAATGAAAAACTGCTGATGACCTTCTACCGCTGCACCATAGAAAGTATTTTAACTTACTGCACTTCTGTATGGTTTGCCAATTGCACAGTGGCAGATAGTACAGCACTCCAGAGGGTTAATGTCATTGCCCAGAACATCATGGGTTGCCCTCTCCGGAAGAGCTTTATAGCTCCCGCTGCCTTAAGAAATTTCAAAACATTCTCAAAGATCCATCTCATTCTGGGTGCCCTTTTTTTGGAACTATTACCATCTGGCAGACAGTACAGGATAATAAAAACAAGGACAAATAGGCTGAAAAACAGCTTCTATCCCAGGGCAGTAGCTCTTTTGAATTCTGCTGTATAGTGCAGTATTGGTGCGGTGTCAGGGTTTTTTTGTTTAATGTGGGGAGGGTGAAGGATGTGTGTTTGTGTTTATTTCATGGTCATGGTCATAATGTGCACTGAAGATGGTGTTTGATTTCGTTGTACGAGGTGCAATGACAATAAAGTAAAATAATTAATACTGTCTTAAGAGTAAGAATTTAGTAAAAATGAGATATATAAATATGAAAATTTTTTTCCTGACACTATGGTTTTGACAGTGCTATAGTATGCAATTTTAAAAAAGGGGCAGCTAGCTGACTGAATCGGGTGTCTTTTTATGAATTCCTAGACCACTTTTGTTGCTTTTGTAAGTTACCTTTATCTTTTCTCACCTACATCACCCATTCTATCCAGCATCTTTGCAATTGGATTGGAACAATGGAAGTTGAGTTGGAAAGTGGCATTTATAGAATAATCTTTTTTCAGTTTGTAAAAGGGTTTGTGAGCTGTGCCACGCTGACCTCTTAATTAGATTAGTCATGAGACAAGATATGAAAATATAGCCATATGTTTTATAAAAGTTTTGCAATAACCATCAGTTGATTCCTTACCACCTGTAAATCCTAATATGAAAGTTGACACAGGAAAGTTATGCTAAAAATTGCATCTGTTATTTTCTTTTACAGGAAAAGAAAATCAGAGTATCTCTGCCTTTAACAAGAGGACCAAGTGCCTTTATACCAGAGAAGGATGTAAGTTGTTTTTCTTTTTCCTTTCTTTTAAGAAATGACCATGAAGCAGCAAAGCAGTGCAAGGAGATTATGAGCCTATCTATTGAATAATTTCCACCATGGCCATTTCAATTTCTGGAATGTCCCAACAGTTTAAAATCCCAGGCTTTGAATCAAGCTATTGAAGGCTTAATCTGATGTACAGGAAATTCAGAAGCTTAATCTTTGGTAGCAAAACTTGCTAAAATTCTGTTTTTTTTCCTCTTGTGAATTAAAATAGTTATTTTGAACCTGGATATTTATGTATTTGATTTTAAATGACTTGAATGCTCTTGGTTGTTAAGAATATGCCACATTAAAATTTTGCATTTTAATAATGGTCTAAGCTTCTTTAGCTTTTTGAGAGAGAAAAAACTGTGTCACGGAGGAGGAATATTAGGATAAATTTGAAAATAATATGAATCTGGTACTGAGTAGTGATAGATCTTTATTCGTGATTGTACAATAGGAACATCCCCAAATTGTGCAATACAGGAATATGGCACTGAGTTTTTGGAGTGGGGTTTAAGGAAGAATTAGGGTAAAACTTCAGAATATGGGGAGATAATACACAGAGCAGTACTTTCTTGGTAGTGGCTTAGCAGTGATCAAATGGCTGAGGAAAACGTCTTTGTCCATTTCACTAGTGGATTTGGGCAATTCTAACTACAGATAGTCCTCAACTTATGACCAGAATTGAGCACAAAATTTATGTTGTTAAGTGAGACATTTGTTAAGTGAATTTTACCCCATTTTACAACCTTACTTGCCTCAGTTGTTAAATAAATCACTGCAATTGATAAGTTAGTAACCTGGTTGTTAAGTAAATCTGGTTTCCCCATTGACTGTGCTCGCCAGCAGGTCGCAAAAGGTGATCACATAATTTTGGGACACAACAACAGTCATAAATATGAATCAGTTGCCAAGCATCTGAATTTGCATCACATGACCTTGGGGATGCTGGAAAGGTCGTAACTGTGAAAAACTGTCATAAGTCCCTTTTTTCAGTGCCATTGTAACTTTGAATGGTCACAAAACGAACTTTTGTAAGCCATCATGTAGATGTTTACTTACCTCAGCCTAAACCGATCCTAAAAAAGAAACATGAGGACTTTTGTCTTCTGTTTTTCAAATCCTGTCATATTTTATTTTGCTGTATCTGGACTTAGGTTATTGCTTCATTTTTATTCCTTGCTCTACCTACTTTTTCTGGTATTGGCCAAAGAATAAAAAGAACAGATTGCTTATGTCAGAACTGCCACCTCACACCTGCGCTCTGCAATCGTTTCGGCACCAGTCTGCCATGAATCTTGGGCGGAGGGGGAGAGGGAGCGGGAGCACTTGGCGGGGGGGCGGAAAGTAAAAGTTAAGAAAGCGAAGTTGCTTGCCTGAGACGGCGCGTCAAGGTCACTCCGCAATGAGAAGAATGCAGCTGCAAGCCAGCCTACAATCATAGTAGCCGTTTCCAAAATCTCTTCTTCGAAATTGATTGGACACTGGGGACCAACAATGGGAAGTCTCGAATAAGTGGGGAAAAGTTTTCACTTGGGATTTTGGCGCACGAATTTCAGTTCTGGCTTTGCAGTACTGTAATTCACTTGACTTCTAGTAAACTATACCTTTCTCACTGAATGGAATTAAGGATCGTTTCTAGGGAGAAGATCAAGCTGAGGCAGGTCTGACATCAAGCCAGAACTGCATTACCTGTCTACCCAGAGAAATAAACTACCACGGGGGCTGTGCAGACTATACCTTTCTCAGCCCGATGGTGTTAAGGATCGTTTTTAGTTAGAAGCCTAAGTTGAGGCAGGTCTGACAACTTATCTTCAAGACTGACACTAGCTTTGTTCAGCGGATTGTAGTTCAGCATCGTGCTAAACCACTTAGGATAAACTCCTAGGTTTCTTCAGATGGCCTTCAGTGCAACTGAAATTCTGTCATACTGTGGCTGATATTCTATATATGTTTTGTTATTTTTTTATTATTTTAGTTCTTCCCTATTTGCGCGGGTATATGCATAATTCTGTAGTTATTTATTTAGTCATGTTTCCATAGTGTATATTAGAGGCATGGAGACCTTTGAGAGCTGCATGAAATTTCATTTTAATGGATGCTGCTTAGTGTACATTCAAAAGTGGCAATAAAGTTATTCTAAGTCTAAGTCTCTTCACTTAATCTTATTTAAAGTTCCACACCTGCTGCTTCCTCAAAGTATGTCTTGGAATAATTATTTATGACCTATAAAACTAAAGCTGATCAATAATGTCTTTTTTTCTCCTTTTTTCTTTTGAACTTTCTCCAAAGGTTATGCAAGCCAATAGTTTGAATGAACGTATGCATCTGCTTGTGGAAGAATATTCTACATCCGGTCGCCTAGACAACGTCACTCAGGTCATGAGTTTACACATTCAGTACCTGGAGTCTTTCCTCCGCAGTCAATTTTATATGTTGCGTGTGGATGGTCCTCTTCCTTTGCCTTACCGGCACTACATAGCAATCATGGTAAGCTCTGAAAAAGTCTTGATTCATCTCCCGTCATAATTACATTAGTATGTTTTCCACCAGTGTTGTAAGTTAAAGCAAGTGTCACCTTCTTCTGAACTGAAAGGAGATAACACTGTCACCCACATCTAGTTGATCTTTTCTTCAAGAGCTGGACATCTAGCAGCTGGACCACACACACTCTTTATATACATATACATGTACATATATATATATGGTATTCAGCTTTGTTCGGGTATTTTCCCACGTCATTATAGTTGTGCTTTTAAAGTTGTAGCAACGTTTCGGCAGAATCTCATCTGCCATCATCAGGCTTCTGTATTGTGTTTGTCTGATGAACACAGTACAGAAGCCTGATGATGGCAGATGAGATTCTGCCGAAACGTTGCTACAACTTTAAAAGCACAACTATAATGATGTGGGAAAATACCCAAACCATATCTCTATCTCTCTATCTCTCTGCCCAAACAAAGCTGAATACCATACATGTAAGTACCCGCGAAATAAATTATATATATATATATAGAGAGAGAGAGAGAGAGAGAGAGAGAGAGATAGAGAGAGAGAATGAGAGAGAGAGAGAGAGAGAGAGAGTGTCATAGATGGAGTTTCTTCATTTTCAACATTTTATGGGCAATGGTGTACCTTGTTCACTCAAAATATGGTGGTTGTGAGCTATGTATGATCATTGTGTGAGACATATAGCCAATAGCAATAGCACTTAAACTTATATACTGCTTTACAGTGCTTTTTACAGCCCTCTAAGTGGTGTTACAGAGTCAGCATCTTGCCCCCAACAATCTGGGTCCTCATTTTACCGACCTTGGAAGGATGGAAGGCCGAGTCAACCTTGAGCCTGGTGAGATTCGAACTGCAAATTGCAGGCAGCAGAAGTAGCCTTCAGTACTACACTCTAACCACTGCACCACCGTGGCTCTTAATAATCCATGATAATATGCGGCCAATAATACTTTAAATAATACCATTCCAAACAAAGAACTTAGAATTCTGCACTTGCAATCAATTAAAACTATAATGTTTAGTTTTAAAACTTTCGCAATGGCTAAAATACAACGTTTTCAACATTCATAAATAATTTTTCCAATAGTCAAAACTTCTTACTGCAGTGCAATATGTTGTTGTTCTCCTAGTTGTGTTAGAAAGGTTATGGCTGAATAATAGCCGTTTTCTTAAAGCTACAATGAATTCCCAGGAAAGGCCAAATTTAAGCGGACGGCTTCTACACTTACAGTTCTTCATCATAATTGTTGTGCCAGAGTTCTTATTTTTGTATGAAACATTCATGCAGAGGGTATCCCTAGCCTTAGTCGTTTTAAGCTTGGCTACACTGGCATTCTGCATCAGCAATAGATAGGTAGACCTCGACTTAACAACCAGAATTGAGCCCATAATTTCCGATGCTAGGTGAGACATTTGTGAAGTAAGTTTCCCCCCATTTTAGGACTCTTCTTGCCACAGTTGTTAAGCGAATCACTGCAGTTGTTAAGTTAGTAGCCTGGTTGTTATGTGAAGCTAGCTTCCCCATTGACTTTGCTTGTCAGAAGGTCACAGAAGGACCCCCAGGACAATGCAACCCATTATAAATATGAACCAGTTGCCAAGCATCTGAATTTTGATCACGTGGCCAAGGGGATGCTGCAGTGGTCGTGAGCATGAAAAATGATCATAAATCAAGTTTTTTTCCAGTGCCGTTGTAACTTCAAACAGTCACTAAACAAACTGTTGCAAGTCGAGGTCTACCTGCATATGTTCCACACGTCCTCTTTTCTGTTTAGAGCAATTGCAGTGAAATTTCTTGTGAGCTTTTCTTGTGGAAGCACTTGAATGCAGGGTTCTCTCTTCCTTGTGGTAAAGCTTTTTTTTCTTCCCCTCTTACATCTTCTGCCTACCTGTTTCCCAATATGCCTCTTTGGGTTTTCTCTTCAGGCTGCTGCCAGGCACCAGTGTTCCTATCTAATAAATATACACGTGGAAGAGTTCCTGAAGACTGGAGGGATACAAGAATGGCTGAACGGCTTAGAATACATTCCTCAAAGGCTGAAAAATCTGAACGAAATCAACAAGCTGCTTGCACACCGACCGTGGCTGGTTTCCAAAGAGCACATTCAGGTACATTTATTATTACTATTATTATTTTTGGAAAGAATCGGCTAGAGAAGGCAAAGCCAGGTGTCCAAGCATTTGCCTGTGCCAAAACTTTACAGCTTTTGCTAAGATTTGGTGGGAATGAGCTCTCCTCACATCTGTCTTTGAGCCAGAGGTGGTATTCACAGCAGGTTCTGACCAGTTCGGCAAATACCACCTCTGACTGGCCACGCCCCATCTATTCTCTGCTTCCCGAGTCCCAGCTGATCGTCTGGGTCTTCTTTTGTTGTTCTGGAAAGGAGAACGGAGCTGGAAAGCAGGCTAATAGGATGGGGAGGGAATGGGATTGTGCAGTAACCTTCCCCCTGGAGTGGGTAGGGAATGGGGATTTTACAGTATCCTTCCCCTGCCATGCCCACCAAGCCACACCCATAGAACCAGTAGTAAAAAAATGTGAATCCCACCACTGCTTTGAGCTCAACTTTCTGTGAATGAGACATCACTAAGTCAAGGAATAAAAGAACAGTCAGAAGGAACATTTTTAAATGCAGCTCCTAAAGCCGTTTTTCCTGTTTGGTTAAAGGGTTTGGGGGCTTTGTTATTAAAAGATCTGTCAGGCCATTGGGAAGTGTGTTTGTTTCTTTTCAAAGGAGGAAGAGGTTTGCAGGCAAATCTCTCACCCAAAACTGCACCTACCGAAACTCCTTGCAAATCTAAGTCATGTTGTAATGCCTGGGAAGTGAATACTCACCCCTTCTAGGGGGAACGAGACAGACTCAAAAGAGAAAAGTTTTTATGCTCTTGTCTTTTTTTCAGAAAAGAAATTTTACAGTTTCATTTTACAGTTCGTTATAAAAGCAGGTACAGCTTGCCTTCCTGCCATTCTACTTGAAATTTAATATAGAATAAAATAGAATAGAATTCTTTATTGGCCAAGTGTGATTGAACACACAAGGAATTTGTTTTGGTGCCAATGCTCTCAGTGTTCAGAAAAAAAAAATACATTCGTCAAGAATCATAGGTATAACACTTAATAGTAGTCAAAAGGTACAAATAAGCAATCAAATCATACCAGGAAACATAATAAGCGATCAAATCAAATCAAATTATACTAGTAAGCAGTCAAAAAAAATCATTAGGATACAAGCAACAAAGTTACATTCATGCAGTCATAAATGGGAGGAGATGGGTGAAAGGAAGGATGAGAAGATGAACAGTAATAGTATTAAACTGTAAAATACCTTAAAGTGGGCATGCACAAGGCTAAAGCCACCCTTGCCTCAATAGCACCCCAGAGACAAGATTCCAGTAATTTGGCAAGGTCAGAATACATAATAATTTACTTTTAAAAGTAATCTCTCTAAATGAGATAGTAATATGGTTTTAAAGCTTTTTATTTATGATGCTTCCCTTTTGTATAAAAAAAAATCCTACCATCTTTGGAAGGGCTCTTGCTTTGTAGATGAAATATAGCTGAGGAACTTTTATCTATAAATATTCCATAGGAGGCATAGCCAATATGCACTGTTTGAGATTTGTAACCATCATTTTTGTTCAAAATTTGGGAGCTAAGGGTCCTTGAGCTTTTCCATTGAAAAAATGTATCTGTCTGAGATATCAAACCATTTAATTACAATCCTGGTTAAACACTAAAGAGTCTTGCTTTTCCATTTTGATTTATATTTTTGCAGCGGAGAGGGTGGAAAACATGCAGTATCTCTAAATTGTGCTGCAATGATTCAAGGAGATTAGACTAGAAGGGTTTCTGGCATACTCTGGTTTTTCTGCTTCCAACTCAGAAATTAAAACTCAGCTGAGGAAAACACATCCTGCCTGCTTCTTGTGCCTATATATAAAAAACATAAATTCATATATGTAGTGGTTTTTTTCCTTTCTTGTTTTGTTTCAGAAACTTGTGAAGACAGGGGAAAATAATTGGTCTCTTCCTGAACTGGTGCATGCTGTAGTCCTTTTGGCACATTATCACTCCCTGGCAAGTTTTGTTTTTGGCAGTGGCATCAATCCAGAGAGAGATTTTGGGACTTCCAACGGCTACCGACTCATATCAGTTAACCACTTCTGTGTCTGTGATCTCGCCAATGACAACAACATTGAAAATGCATCCCTCAAAAGTAACAGCTTTGGGGTTAGTGTTTTAAGGTTGTTCTTTTCTTGTCCCTCCTCTGACTTTCGTTGATGTTATAAAAGCTGGCTTGGAAGGGAAGACCATTTCAGCTTGCGGTTTCCTCTGGAGTCTATCAATGCTCGGAATGTGGGAAGCAAAATGCAGATCCCAGCAGAACTTAAGATCAAGTGTTGGGTGGACAGCAGGGGCTGAAAAGTCAACAGAGGTGTTAGTGGTAGGGCACTGTTAATTCTCACAGGAGAACACATTGCTGGGATTCAGATGCAGGCAGTTGGTAAAGATTCTGAAGAAATGACCCATAGGAAGGGAGGGGACAACATTTCCCAACAATTTTCCTTTTAAATTTCTTGGCAATAGTGATTTCCTTCTGATCCCAAACTAGAAAGAAAAATAAAAGTTTTCATAAACTTTTAAAAATGTTATTAATACAGATAAGTACATAAATAAACTACAAAATAAATAGTGCAAAAAGGAAAAGTAGAAAAATAGAAAATAAAAAAATAGAACATTGTAAAGGAAAAACGAAATATATAAAGAAATGAATTCCCTTTCATGACAAGTATAAAGAATTTTAGTAACTTATCACCATGTCTTAAAATACAATAATGTTTTTTTCCTTGTAGTTCATCTCTTATCTATAAACAAATTCTTAAACTCCTCATTCAATCCTTAACAGTAAAACTTTATTAACAGGTCACCAGAAATATCAACATATCTATTTCAAGCTTGATTAAAAAACATTTTGAATTCATTCCTTTTATTTGTAACAATTTTGATCTTTAGTTCTTTCAAACTCTAATCTTAGAACTTGTTTTCTTTTCATTTTTTCTTTGGCCCTTCTCACAAAATCCTTCAGAACTTTAAAATGTCTCTTTTATAAATCCAATATAAGAGAATTATCCAAGTTGCTCTTTTGGTTTACCATTTATGCATCCCCTATAATTATTAAGACATTAGCTGGTTTCATTTATAAATCCAGTCTAGCATCTTTTTTCATATCATTCTTGTAGCTTATCATTTTTAAATCCACTTTCGATCCACTTTACTGGTGTCAGTCTTATCCAGTAAAACTTGTTCTTCTTCCATAACATATTTTAAACACTGTCTGTCTGCACTCTTAAAGGGATGTGGTAGCTCAGTGGCTGCTGAGCTTGTCAATCAGAAAAGTCAGCAGTTTGGCAGTTCGAATCCCTAGCACCGTGTAACAGAGTGAGCTCCCGTTGCTTGTCCCAGCTTCTGCCAACCTAGCAGTTCGAAAGCACATAAAAAATGCAAGTAGAAAAATATGGACCACTTTGGTCGGAAGGTAACAGTGTTCCGTGTGCCTTCGGCATTTAGTCATGCCAGCCACATGACCATGGAGACGTCTTCGGACAGCACTGGCTCTTTGGCTTTATAACGGAGATGAGCACTGTCCCCCTAGAGCCACAACAACTAGCACGTATGTGCGAGGGGAACCTTTACCTTTACTTATCTACATTCTTAAAGCAGACACTCTTAAAATTGACTTCTGGGTCCATTGTTCAAAAATATCCTCCAAAACATCCAGTGTTCAAATATTCTGCCCCATTCTGTAGTAACAAGTCAAATTTAAGTGTTCTTCCCTTATAATTGTGAGTAGTTCAGAGAACTACTGGTGTCCGCCCCTGGTTGGCCCCGCTCCCATCTATTCGCTGCCTCCCAATCCTAGCTGATCAGCTGGGTCTTCTTTTGTTGTCCTGCATAGGAGAACAGAACTGAAAAGCAGGTTAGTGGGGTAGGGAGGGAATGGTTATTTTACAATAGCCTTCCCCCGAAGTGGGGTGGAAATGGGGATTTTACAGTATCCTTCCCCTGCCATGCCCACCAAGCCACGCCCACCAATACACACCATACCCACCAAGCCACGCCCACAGAACCAGTAGTAAAAAAAATTGAATACCACCACTGCTCCCGACACGAATGTAGTAGTAGTAGAATAGTAAGCAAAAATTAGTTTCATCTCAAAAGAGAATCAATAACTGGTATCATTCTTCCGACTTCTCTGTTTTAGCTCTCCGATTCTTTAAGTGAGCTGGAGGCCTTGATGGACAGAATGAAGAGGCTACAAGAGGAGGACGAGACTTCCCCAGAAGAAATGGATACACGCTTTGAGAAAGAAAAATCAGAGAGCCTACTAGTTGTTACTGAAGGTATTGCCCTCTGTGTGCTCCACCGGAGCTCTTTTCAGAATGCAGATCAGCCCCCTGAATTAAATAAAATCAAGCTAAACTACAGATGTGGTTTTCACTTGCTGGAGGTTGTTCTGAGCCCGTTTATACATGCAGGGAAATCTGCTTTCTTCAGACCATTTCGGAGCATTCTAAATGGGGACACTCTTTGCATGTTCCCCTACACTGGCAATAAATCTTTAATAAAAAAAAAAAAAGTCTAGAAGGCTTTAGCTCATCTTCTGTCTCTCTCTGACATGCAAACTTTGCACAAAGAAAATGAAAATGAAATTAAAAGGTGTATAAAGAGTCTTGGAATATTCAAATACCTAATTCATCACTGGGAATATGAAATGACATATTCGAAAAGAAAAGAAAAAAGCTGCGCCTCAGGTAGCTCAGTGAAATCTTGGAGACTTTAGAGCAGTGTATTTCCCGACCTCAGCAACTTCGAGATGTGTGAATTTCAACCCCTGGAATTCCCCAGGCAGCCCTGTAACACTTTTGCTCTGCGAACTGCATTGGGTGCCAGTTTGCTTCCAGGTCCAATTCAAGGGGTTGGTTATGAACATTAAAGCCCTCTATGTCAACTCATAAAATATTTCTAAGGTCTTTTTAGAGTTGCCAACCGAAAAAGATGGGGGAAAGGGGTTTGAAAGAGAAGTGTGGCGGCTTGGAAAGCAAAAGTGCATTCCGTAAATAGTTTTTCCAAGATAGTAACTAGGTGGCTGAAGTTTCTGCCGTGCAAAATTCTAACTGGAGAACATGAGTGATGACTATGGATGTGTCTCATTGGAGAATATGAATTATGATACACCCAGGGGGTGGGGGAATACCAGGGTCAAAGGTGACAATGAATGATGTGTCTCAGAGTCAGCTACACCCAGGCAATGCCGGACATGTTAACTCCCAATAAATCCTTTTGAAGTTTTGGAAATTTGGCTCAAGATTCATGATGGGGTAACTGCCGGAATCTGAACGCAGAGCATGCGCAAAGCGTGCAATCACCAAACCGGTTGTTACACCGTTGGAATCCCAACCCTGGAGGCAGGCCCCTACTGTCCTGGCCTTCCAAAAAAGGAGTGAGAGACATGGCTGTGCGGCCTTGGGTGAGGAGCATGCAGCCATGGGGCTGGTTAGCAGCTTGAAGGCTCTTCATTTGCCTTTTAATAATTTTTTAAGTGCGTTAATCAACCTTGACTTTAAAAAAAAAAAACTTAACTTTTATATACTTTTTAAATTTTTTAAATATTTTATTATACACCGCCCAGTCACTCTGAGAGGGAGATGACCACTTCCAAAATGTGGTCAATAAATACATTTGCAGCAAAGACAGGATTTTTTTCCCCCTCATTGAAGAGGTTGCACGTCTTTCGGCTAAACTTTCAGCCCTTAATAATAGAGTTGGAAGGGACCTTGGAGGTCTTCCAAGCCGACCTCCTGTTCAGGCAGGAGACCCTATATCGTTTCAGACAAATGGCTGCGTCAGGGCTCCCAACAAATCCACCCTCATTCAAATCAAAAGTCTCTAGCCGCATCTCGGAGAAAAGGAAATTGGTTTATTAGAAGTTGTCACGCTGGCGTGTGGCCGGGTGGAGCCGATGCTAAATTACATCATACATTTTCCCCCTTGACCCTGGTTTTTCCCCCACCCCCTGGATGTGACTTCTCCAATGGGACACATCCGTCTCCAAGAGTCATCCATCATGCTCTCCAATAACCTTCTTATGCTCTGACAACTTTGGGCTGCCGAGGTGATTATCTAGGCATTTAAGGAATGCCTTGTTTTCCCCCACTCTCTTTTTCTGACAGCTAAAAAGGCCAAAGGAGTATCTTTTTAGTTGACAGGCTGTCTAGTCGCTTCTTAAAAACCTCCAGTGATAGAGCACCCACAACTCCTGAAGGGAAGCAGTTCCCCTGATGAATTCTTCTCACTCTCAGGAAGTTTCTCTTTAGTTCCAGGTTGGGTTCTCTCTGTTTCCATCGCAAAAGATCCGAACTGATCACTTGGGTGCTTGAACGTTAAACTTCCTGAACCGTGGCCACCTGGGAAATGCTTCTCGTGGTTAAATTCATGGTATACAGGCTTAAAAACAGGAGGGCTTGCCAAAGCTGAGCAAATGGATCAGAAGATGGATTTTAATTTAGTATTTCAGTTGCTCACAACCCCCAGGCATTTGCTGAATGCGGAGTTTGGCCTGGCATTTTATTTGAATGTGAAGTCGCTTCCCTTCCTCCTCTCTGCCAGTTCTGGAGCCTGGACATCCACCCAATGTTTAAATATCAACTCCCATAGTCTCTTAGCTAGCATGTTCAGTGTTGAGAATTCTGAGAAATAACATCTACATATGTAGAAGATGCGTCAGATGGAGAAAGCTTGAGCTAGTGGGAAGAAGGAGAAAAATCCAGGCTTTCAATTATTGTAGAATAAAACTTACTGCATTCTTCCTTGGATCACAGAAGCTCTTATGAGGGAGCTTTATGATGCAGAAATTATTACAGTTAGTCCTTGACTTACAACAATTGGTTTAGTGAGCGTTTATAACAGCACTGAAAAAAGTGATTAATGACCGTTTTTCACACTTACAATCATTGCAGCATCCTCATGGTCGTGTGATTAAAATTGAGAGGCTTAGCATCTGGTTCATATTTATGACAGCAGCAAAAGCAATGGGGAAGCCAGATTCGCTTAACAACCATGTTACTAACTTAACAACTGCAGTCATTCACTTTACAACTGTGTCAAGAAAGATCATTCAATGGGGCAAAACTCGCTTAACCAATGTCTCATTTAGCAACAGAAATTTTTAGCTTACTTGTAGTCATAAGTCAAGGACTACCTTTATAGTGGCTAACCCAGTAGAAAAATTGAACTGAGCAGCTGGTAAAGGAGATTAAAAATGCTGAATTTTGTACCCGTGCACTGTATATGTATATATTTAAAATAATGTTTTTGAAGTAAATTATCACATGCAGTAAACATTTTTTATGCCACTCAGAATGGAAAAGGTGAAGGATGTAGGCTGCAAAGCTAAAGCAGATAGAGACTCTTTTACTACTTTAGTTTCTGCCTTTAATAACATGTTCTGGGGTGTTTTTTTTTTCTTTTTTTAAATGCTGTCACAGACACCCAGAAATCTTGTTTCAAAAGAGATGGCAGGAATCAGTCCCAAAACAAAGAGTAATTCAAGGCTTGACAACTTCTGATTTCTTAAACTGCATTAAGAAACTATTTGGATGCTTGCCAAGTAGGTTTCTTCCCACATAGTTATGTTTTAATTGGCTAATGAGCCAGAATAAAAACATAAAGGTGTCCTTGTGATAGTTGGGTGAACTGAAGGGTTTCTTTTTAATGGGGCCACTAATAGACACAGAGCAGGTTCCCCACCCAATTTCATTAGGATGCCTGGGTGTCAGCCCAGATTGGGGAATCAAGATAATTTGCAGACACCTTTGCAGCGGCCAAGCTTCAAAAAGGTATTTGGCAAACTCAAATCCTTTTGAACATTCAGCTGGCAGAGAGGAGAAAATGGATGGAGGGTTTCTTGGTAAGAGAGATGCCCTGCTTTTAATTGTTGGTACTGGTAATCCTCTGCTTACAACGCTTTGTTTAATGACTGTTACAACAGCGCTGAAAAAGTGACTTACAACTCTTCCTCACACTTAAGACCTTCGCAACATCCTCGTAATCACGTGATCAAAATAAGGATGCTATTGTATTGTATTTACAATCGTTGCGTTGTCCAGGGGTCATGTGATCACTATTTGTGACCTTCCGCCCTGGCTTTCCAACAAGCAAAGTCAAAGGGCCAAGCCAGATTTGCTTAACAATCCCATGACTCACTCACAGGCAAAAAATAAAATAAAAATGGGCATGGTTCACTTAATGACTGTGTTACTTAGCAATGGAAACTCTGGTCCAAACTGTAGTTCTAAGTCAAGGACGACTTGTAATGCTGGAGTTTTTTTTTTCCATATTGCTCAGAAAATGGAAGAATTTGGCTTTTATCCAGAGATCTCTTTTCGTCCACTTTACCCAAATAGGACTAAGGTAGAATCGAACTTGCTTTTGGTCTTGTTTTTCTTCTTCTCTGGAGCCGTGGACAATGTGTCTCAATCTTTATTTTCCCCAGTGGGCAAATCCAACGGGGCTATGACTGAAGCACAATCCCAAAGGTGCTTTTTTGTTCAAGAGGCAACTGGACTTTCTGGTTTTTCTTTGAAGACGTTTCGCTTCTCCTCCAAGAAGCTTCTTCAGCTCTGGCTGGATGGTGGGGAAATTTCCTACCATCCAGTCGCCACCATCCAGTCAGAGTTGAAGAAGCTTCTTGGAGGAGAAGCGAAACATCTTCAACGAAAACTCAGAAAGTCTGGTTGCCTCTTGGGAAAAAAAAAAAACACCTTTGGGACAACCATGGCCTGGATGACTGAGAATCTCCATAGACTGACAGTCACACTTGCACCAAGCTATAGCATTCATTGGACTGGCATCCTATATCAAAACCAGGGGTGTCTCTCTGGACAGGGTCCTAATCCTTGACATGGATTTTTCTTTGTTATCAACTAAAGATCTGCAGTGCTGCATTCTAATAGCAGAAATATTTATAGGAAGAAATATTTATATAGAGATTCTAAAGCAGGGGCCCCCAAACTTGGCAACTTTAAGACTTGTGGACTTCAACTCCCAGAATTCTCTGGCTGGAGAATTCTGGGAGTTAAAGTCCACAAGTCTTAAAGTTGCCAACTCTGGAGACCTCTGTTCTAAGGCCTAGACCCTCCTCCAGTGCAGATTGGAATGAATTGGAAATGATTTGTAGAAGTTCAGCTGACCGGCGTTCTGAACTGAATTGTACATCATCCGTTGAGATGCATTTTTAAGAATAATTGCAGTTTAATACTTTGGTGAAAGATTTAGTTTACAAAGATAGATAGATAGATAGATAGATAGATAGATAGATAGATAGATAGA